CTATCTATCTATCTATCTATCTATCTATCTATCTATCTATCTATCTATCTCTCTATCATCTATCTATCATCTATATAAAAATGAAATACCACTCAGGCATCATCACAAAATCTCCAGAACCGTAAAGCCTACAAACTTGAAATTCGGCACGTAAGTTCCTCTTGGCTTCTAGGTGTTCACTAAGAAAGGATTTTTCAAAATGACCATTAGAGCATTTAGAATATTTCCTATATTATTATTATTATTATTAACACGCTCTGATGCTAAGGAGCTCTACTCCCCCACCCCCACCTGGAAAGAAATCTGTTCCAAGTGCAAAACACAAGCAGAAGAGAGGAATTTCAGTTTCACAGCAACCAAACAGCTTTAGTACAGAACAGTTGAGCTAAGTCACGCCCAGGCTCCTTGCCGTCTCCTCCTTGCTCACACAGCAAAGACACTTTCAATTTCCGAACAGCCCTCATTTCTTTCACACACAGATAGGACGCTAGCCAGATGAATACCAATGGATGCTGATAGGCAGAGGCAGAATTCCCCCCCCCACCTTATTTTCCTCCCCAAAAACTAAGATGCGCCTTATACTCTGGAGCGTCTTGTCCGATCACATGGTTTCGTAGCAAAGCACAGGTACCCTGCTGGTATCCTGTATAAAAGCTCCTCAGAAGATAAAAAGGATGCAAAATCAGAAATGACTCACTTAACAATGGAAGTTTCGGTTCTAATTGCGGTTGTAAACTGAGGACTTCCAAAGGAGAAGCATGATCACGGTTCTATTGAATTTTTTTCGCACTTACTGTCTGACCCCAGTCAGGGGAGGGGGGGAAAAAAAAAAGGGGACATTCAAGACTTACAATTGACAATGAGGTGAATCCAGGTGCCATTCTGGAATTCGTCATCGTTGTTGGGGCGGTTGAGGAACAGCACCCGGCATTCGTACCAGCCCTGGTCTTCGGCACGCAGACGGTCAATCTGCAGGGAAGCCCCAGCTTGGATTCGTACACGACCTGCATTTTTGTAAAACGAGGAAACAGAATCATCACCTTCTTCTTCCAACTCCATAACCCCCTGCGGGGTGGAGTCTGGGCAACTGAACGGAGCTGAGTGGCCGGATGCCTTTCCTGTTGCCAATACAGAGTTTTGTTCGGCAGATATTTTTCTCATCGAGCCCAGAGAGAGAAATACCTGCCTCTGCCAAGGATCAAACTCACAGCCTCCTCTAGGCCACCGTACCACAAAACGAGGAAACGGAACGACTCCGTTAATTCAAAGCTCCCATTGCCTCTCAGCCTCCAACCAGTGTCTTTACAGGTTACAGTTAGTCCTTGACTTACAACTAAACGTTTAGCAACTATTTACAGTTACAACGGACTCCCCCAAGAGCAACTAACAACCTGATTTTGAAAGTATGATGGCTATACCCTTCCTGCAGGTAACAAGATGGCCGCCCAGAATCGTTGAGATGGGCAGCATAATCAACCAATACAATTTATGCAGACCCCCCTCTACAGCTAAAACAATCCACTAGCAAAGCTTACCCCCCACTTTTTGGGGGAGACTGGGTCTCCCTAGTGGAAATTTTGAAAGCCTAGCGGGTGCAGCTATGGCCAATCGGTCCTGGATTCGAATCCTCAGTCCCGTTGCCAGGAAAGCTTCGTGCTACGGAGCCTACAGATTCCCCCTTGCCCCGAGCGTAAACCATGAAGGAGATGGTGGTATTGAAAGGCAGAATATACAGAATATGTTTCTTTCTTTAAAGCAGTTTTTTTGCAGTGTGGGCTTTAAAATGCATGGACTTCAACTCCCAGAATTCTTAAATGCCAAACTGAGTGGGGAATTCTGGGAGTTGAAGTCCACTCATCTTCAAGCGATCCGAGGTTCCGAAAACGCTGCTTTAAAAGAATTCAAAATTAAAGAAGCAAATTTGGAGGCAGGGCGAGGGAGCAATGAAGTTGAATATGATATGGATACGGTATGAATATTCAGCTTCAGCTATCCTGATTAATTGTGGCCTGATTCTGAGGGTGTATTCACATTTGTGTGTATACAGGCAATCAAGAACAAACAAACCGAAGCCAATTCATTTTTAATTTTATTCTATCTGTTTGCTGCCACCCAGCTTATCAAACAAAAAAACCTCTGTTTATACAGTAGCCTGACTTACTTGCAAGCCAAGATTAAATATTATCGTATCTTTGCATGCTTATTCCTAGGAAACAATTTGGACAAAGAAAGTTGGCTGACTGATTTATTTCCAGTCCAGCTATTCAGGGGTCTACAGCCCTGAAAATATTAGCAGCATGAAAGCAGATCCGTTGTCTATATTACTTATCTCCATGTTGTTATTTATGGGTAATTATGTATTGTATTTGTTTCTAATTATATAGCGGATTTTTTTCCCTTTTTTGTTTCCTTACATTGCTTTTGTTTCTTGTTATGTGGCAAGTTTGTTCCTTTTTAAATTTATTTTTCTTATATTAGTATTTGTTTCTTGTTATGTAGCAATTTTGTTCCCTTTTTAATTTGATTTTTATGCTGTGTTTGTTTCTGGTTATATGGTGGGTTTCTCCCCCCCACCCTTTTTAAATGCCATCTGGACCATCCATAATCACATGGTTTGATTTTTCCCCAAAGCCATCACTCTGCTAAACAAATAATTCCCTCAACACTGTTCAACTATTTACAAAGTTTGCACTACTGTTACTGTTAATCTTCTCATCACTCCTTATCACCCATCCCCTCCCACTTGGGACTGTATGTCTGTAATTTTGTCACTTGAATCCTAACAATTTTTATTTACTATTTCCTAGTATGATTTGATTGCTTATTGTACCCTATGACTATCATTAAACGTTGTACCTGATGATTCTTGACGAATGTCTCTTTTCTTTTATGTACACCAAGAGCATTTGCACCCAGACAAATTCCTTGTGTGGCCAATCACACTTGGCCAATAAAAATTTTTATTGAGTGGGAGAAAGACAGAAAGAAAGAAACAGACAGGAGAAAGAAAGAAAAGGGGAAGAAGAAAGAGAGAGAGAGAAAGAAAGGGAAAGAAGGAATGGAAGAAGGAAGAAAAATGGAGGAGGAGGAAGGAAGGAATGAGAAAAGGAAGGAAGGGAGGAAGGTAGTTTGCATAGGAGGAAGGAAGGAAGGTAGGAAGGTAGGAAGGAAGGAAGGAAGGAAGGTAGGTAGGTAGGTTTCACTAAAGACTGAATCTCCAACTAACTTAGTTTAGGATTTTCAAGGGACTCCTGACAAAACTCTCTGAAGAGAAACCAGCTCTAAACTATAATCTGAATTTTCTGATTTCCCGCCTACTTCCTTTCCTTGCAAACCACGACCTAGTGTCTGGCTTAATAAACCCCCTCTTTGCAGCCTAGATTTCAGGTTTGCCAAACCAAATTGGCAGGTATTTGAGAATGCAAAGAAAAAACAGGCAGCAATTAAAGTAGGACAATTTCCCGATATTCATAGGCAGCCAGCCTGAGCAAGTCCGCAGGAGCTCACAATCCTGAGAAGGATTCCCACCCTCGGTTGTTTAAGAGAAGAAAAGGGTTCAAAAGGTTGGCCAGACAATCGAAGCAGAGACGCCTCTTAAAAATCCCTGACCCAGAAAAAAGGAAGCGAAGAAAAGAAAAGAGCACAAGGGGATAAAGAAGGAGAGAGAAAAAAAGACCAAATGGCTGCCATTTGGGGCCACCATCGCCACCCAAAGAGTTTTTCTGAAGCAGATTTTGTGTCACTTTTGGTTATCATCACTACACAACGACGCCCAAGAAGCTTCCCCAGAAATGACACAAAGTCAGACAAGGCACTAAATTCTAGGACCTGAAAACAGAACCTTCCGGAGAATGCCGGAACATTCTGGAGAATGCCAGAACGTTCAGGAGAATGCTGGAAAATCCTTTTTTTCCCCCTTTTCGTTGCCGAACCTATGAAATTCCCCAACTCATTTGAGAATCACTTTGAGGCTTTCTCAAAAGGTTTATTTCGGAATAGGAAAGGGTTTATTTCTGAAAGCAACCAACAATGGTGAAATCGATATAACCGGGGTTTTTTGAAATGTTCTGGGATTGGAATTTCCCACTACCACCCTGCTTCTTTTTGGCCCCCGAGGGTGGAAAAAAGAAGGATGCAAGAACTTGTTCCGAGAGTCCATCACAATCCAATTCAGCAACTTTTAAGTTCAGTGGACTTCAACTCCCAGAATCCATGCTGGCTGGGGAATTCTGGGAAGCGACGTCTACCCATCTTAAAGTTGCAGAGCAAGACTTGCTCGATGGAGGATCCTGGGAATTGAAGTCCACCCATCTTAAAGATGCTGAAGTGGAGAAACTTTGGTCTATACTGAACATTGTGTGTACAATTTTGTGGTAGTGCCACATGAACACTTAGAACCTTCTCCCTGGGATTCTTGTCTTCCAGACCTGACCTTAAAAAAATATTTTATACTTCTCTGCTTGGGTGATTTAGGCTCCATTGCCCCTAAATCAATCTTGCCATCGCTATCGATAAATAAGAGCCAAATTGCCAACACTTGTCTGCAAACGCAAACACAAACACACCCTCCTGGGCAAGCCCAGTCCAATGTCTACAGATTAAAAGGCCGTTTCTCTTTGCAAAAAGGCCACGATTGTCAAATATCTGGGTTACTGCAGCTCTTAAAAAAGAGAGAGAGAGAACAATCGAATCTGCAATCCAATGAAATTAAAATGTGTGACTTTTATTCATTCACAGGGCTGGGCAAGTACCCTAAAGGTACTATTTGAACCATTTGAATGGCGCTATCTTGTTTCTGAAATTATCCTAGGGGTTTTGCAATTCGAAACAACACGCCCAGCCTGGCTGAACTTTGCTTCTTGCCCTCCGAATGAACGGACTAAATTGCTTTATGACTAAATAAGTTTAACAGATGGAGCTTCAGAAGAAATCCAGAAGGAAAGTTCTTTTCGTTTCTAAAATCAAAAGGGAAGACGTGGTGTTGTTGCTAGGATCACTGTAACCATTTCATTAGAATTAAAAGACTAATAATAATAATAATAATAATAACAACAACAACAACAACAAAAATAATAATAATATAATGCTGTTATTGTTATTGTTGTTGTTGTTATTGTTGTTGTTGTTGTTGTTGTTATTATTATTATTATTATTATTATTAAAGCACTGCATGGACAATTCCTTGAAAAGATCCAAGGAAAAGTAGATAAGGAAAAGGCCTGGCTATGGCTAACCAATGGAACACCAAAGGAAGAGACAAAAGCCCTGATTCTTGCAGCCCAAGAATAAGCCATCAGAACGACTGTAATCAAAGCCAAATGCGGCCTCTGCAAAGAAGTGGAAACCATCGATCACATACTGAGCTTGTTGCAAGACTCAGTTGCAAGCTGTTGCAAGACTTGCTCAGACTGACTACAAACAACATCACAACACAGCCGCTCAGGTGGTCCACTGGAAGTTGTGTTGCAACTGCCATCTGCCTGTAGCAAAGAACTGGTGGGATCATAAGCCTGAAAAAGTGGTCGAAAATGAGCATGCAAAACTACTGTGGGACTTCCGAATATAAACTGACAAAGTTTTGGAACACGATACCCTAAATATCACGATTGTGGAGAAGAAGGAAGTGTGGATTGTCAACATTGTCATACCTGGTGACAACAGAAACAACTTGAAAAAGTCACCAGATATCAGGACTTGAGAATCGAACTGCAAAGACTCTGGCATAAACCAGTGCAGGTGGTTCCAGTGGTACTGGGCACACTGGGTGCTCTGCCTAAAGACCTAGGCAAGCACTTAAAAACAATTGGCGCTGACAAGATCACCATTGGTCAGCTGCAGAAGGCCACCTTACTGGGATCTGCTCGCATAATCCGCCGATACATCACGCAGTCCTAAACGCTTGGGAAGTGTTCGACTAGTGATTTGTGATACGAACCCAGCATAGTTAGCTTGTTTGCTGTGTACGCTGTCATTTTTTGTGTCAAATAATAATAATAATAGTTTATTATCATTGTACAAATATACACATTATATACATACAACGAAATTCACGTAACACCCAGAGAGCAGATCCAATACGCACACATACGACAATCTCCAAACACACTCCACCCTCCAATATTCCCCATCCCTCGTAAAGCACACACAAGCATCCACACAACACACCAAGTAATACTGTCCAATAGAACAGAACACAAACAGTTCATTGAGCAATTATTTTGGAAAATGAAATGAAATGTGGGGAATTAAACCTCCCGCCAACAATAGTCTCAAGATACTATTAACCAGGTTAGTTCCAAACTTATGGTTTCATTTCCACAAGGCGTCAAAAGTTTAGATACAGGTAGTCCTCGACTTACAATGGTTCGTTTAGTGACCAAAGTTACAATGGCACTGGAAAAAAAAGTGACATAAGACCATTTTTCACACTTAATGACTGTTCCAGCATCCCCTGTGGTAGTCACGTAATCAAAGTTCAGACACTTGGCCATTGACTCATATTTACGTCGGTCGCAGTGTCCTGGGGGTCATGTGTTCCCCTTTTACGACCAGCTACGTCAATCGGGAAGCCAGATTCGCTTTAACAACCCTATGTGTAACCTAATAAGAGCAGTGATTCACTTAACAACGGTGGCAAGAAAGGTCATTAAAAAAAGGGGCAAAACTCACTTAACCCTAAGCCTTGCTTAGCAATAGAAATTTTGGTTGGAGGGGCTACCTTTAACAGGATTTGGAAGAGACCTCAGAAGCCTTCTAGACCAACCCCCTCACACAAATAGAAGACCCTATAAAATTCCAGACAAGTAGCTGTCCTATCTAAACGGACATTATTAAAATAACACCATGTTTCCCCCCAAATAAGACCCTGTCTTATAATTTTTTGCCACCAAAAAGGCACCAGGTCTTATTTTTGGGGGATATCATCCACTGACTAATCTCACTTGCGTACGTCGCCCCCGGTCTCCTTTTCGCTGTCAGAGGCCTTCCAAAACGTCTTCTGCATCTGGCAAGGCTTTCCTGAAGGCCTCTGCAGAAGACAGGATCGATCCAGAGCTTTGTTATCAGTTATAGAGGCCTTCAGGAAAGCCTTGCCGGCCCTGCTGGCTGCAGAAGAGATGGGCCGGCATGGCAGGTGTCAGGATGTGTGAGGCCTGGCTATAACTGTCCAAAGGTAAGTAGTACGGCAGCTCCACCACCACCTCATCCCCACCCTAGCTTAATTATTATACTCTGGAGTAGGCGGAATTTTAATTAGAGCTTATTTTGGGAGTAGGGCTTATATTGGGTGCACGTGTAAAACTCAAGCTAGGACTAACTTTCAGGGTAGGTCCTATTTTCTGGGAAACAGGGTTATTAAAACTGGTGATTATTTTGCCAAAGGACTCAGGCATCCTCCCACGCTGCGCCACCGATCCCAGGCCAGCTTTCCCCGTTGGAACCTCCACCACCACTCACTCACCCACGTAGTCTGGATCCACCCGGGGGGAATACAGCCCGAATTTGATGAAGATGGGGAGCAAGAAACCAAATCGCACCCACTCAATGACGTAGAGAGGCGGGCTCGCCTCGTCCGGCTTCAGCAGGTCGCAGCGCAGAAGGGCGCTCTCTCCTTTGCGGCCGACCACCGTGCGAGATTCTGCTTTGCTGTTACCTGCTGGGAGTCACATTGAAAGGATGATCATCAGCCACTCTGAAAGCCCAGCCTTTTTGAGGCTACCGTTTTTCTACCTCATTTTGTGGAGGCCAGCCCTTTGGGTTGAAGGTAAAGGTTCCCCTTGCGCATCCACGCTAATCGTTTACGGCTCTAGGGGGCGGGGCTCCTCTCCGTTGCAAAGCCGAAGAGTCAGCGCTGTCCGAAGACGTCTCCATGGTCATGTGGCTGGCAGGACTAAATGCCAAAGGTGCACGGACCCACCAAAGGGGGCCCTATTTTTCTACTTGCATTTTTTGAACGTGCTTTCGAACGGCTAGGTTGGCAGAAGCCGTGACGAGGAACGGGAGCTCCCTCCGTTACGCGGCGCTAGGGATTCGAACCGCCGAACTGCCGATCTTTCTGATCGACAAGCTCAGCGTCTTAGCCCCTGAGCCGCAGCGTCCCTTGGGTTAAGGGGATGTCAAAAATTCCTCCAAGTTGGGGGAAAAAGGCTTCGAATTTCCCAACCTCAGTTTTGGGAGGCCTCCCTGACTGGCTTTTTTGGACCAAAGCAGTATGAAAATTCCTCTCTAAGGGGAGAAAAAGGTTTCCGTTTTCCTGCTTCGTTTTTGGGAGGCCACCCTTTTAGATCAAAGTGGCCTGGAAATTCCTCCAAGGGGAAGAGGAGGCTTCTGTTTTTAAGAATTACCTGCATGTTACTGGCAAAGCACATAGCTGAGAGGATACAAGGGGACTGTGGGTTGACCCAGGGGTGGGATTCTACCGTTTCGGACCGTTTCGGGTGAACCGAATGTTAAATTTGCACCTGGTTCGCAGAACCAGTATTTGAACCAACTGGCTGGCCCCTCCCACCCCTCCCCTCCCAGGAGTCTCTCATTTTCAATGCAGGTAAGATGCAGGTAAGTACAGGGTCTGCGCGGAGGATCTGGGAGGGGGAAAAACGGACTTTCCAGAGGTCAAGAAACAGGTCCATTTCTGGCTTCCGGAGCCCGGGGGAGGCCGTTTTCATCCTCCCAGAGGCCTGAGGGAAGCCTCCGGACTCCGGGGAAGGAGAAAAACGGCCCTCCCGGAAGTTCCGGTAGGCCCCGCCAACCCAGCAACCAGGCAGCCAACCCGTTGCTGGGATTTTTGACCCCCCACACCTGGTTTGACCGCAACTTTGTTCTCCATTTTGGCCGGGGTCCCTGTGTGAAACCCCAGCCCGCTCCTGTCTAGGAAACCAGCTTACCTTCAGCAAGGCTGCTGCAGACCAGGGTAAGGCAAGCAAGCCTCAGCCACCAATTCATAGCACAGCTACCCAGGCCAAACGCTGCGCAGGACGACCGCTGTACCAAGACTTCCCCCACCCAGCACTGAGTATTCGGGGAGTGACCCGCAATCACACCGTCCTCGTGCGCCAGGCCGCTGGGTTTTCAACGCAGCCTTCCAGAGATGCCTGCAAAATGCAGGTTGGGGTGTCTCCTCGCACCCGAGCCCCGTTTTTCATCTCCCGCCAATCTGTCCGTGGAAATCCTGGAGCATTTTCGGTGGGAAATGCGTCCTTCAGCATTGACCTGGTGGAGCAAAGTTTGCGAAAGGAAAGAAAAGGGGAATAAATTGAGAGTCTTCTACAAAAAAAAGGGCTTTCTGGAGGTTGGAGTCTCTCTTTTTAAAACTTTCGTCAACTGATTTTAGTTCCAAAGAAAACCCAGTACATGCAAACTAAAATAGCTATTTCGCCTTGTTTTGGAAAGACGCTTTAAAATTTAAACTATTTTCACTGTTCAAACAGGCTTCTATCCTTTGGCCATATTCCTACAATGGCTTAAACCCCAAGAATGCCCAACCTTGGCAACTTTTAAGACCTGGGGACTTCAACTCCCAGAATTCCCCAGCCAGCATGGGGAATTCTGGGAATCGATGTCCACAAGTCTTAAAAGTTGCCAAGGTTGGACAACCTCGGATTAACTGTATTCCAAAACTGTTTTCTGCACCTTACACTGAATTACAGATTTGTTAAATCTACTAGTCCTTAACTTATGACTATTTGAGCTTATGACCCCCCCGCTCCCAAAAAAAAAAACCCGCATTTACAACTCAGTTCTGAAGGTTGGGCCTACCCTGCGGTCCCGTAACCACATTTATGGTGTTTGACGTACGACAACAGTGACCACAATTTACAGCTTTTTGACCGGAAAATTTACTTCTGTTTTCTGACAAAAACATCCCATAACAATCAATAGTTTCATTTAACAACCACTGCAAAAAGAAAAAAAAAAGTCATAAAATCAGGCTGGTCAGTTGTTCCCAATTTATGACCATAGAAGGCAGGCTCCATTTGACAGTTATATTTGTATTTTAACATAGTCGATGTTGTGATTTTTGATGTTTTTTTTTTTTAAAAAATGCCAGTCAGGGAAAGTTGCTTTTTGTAAAAGAGGCTGCCGTACAAATTTGATTGAAAACTAAATTCACTCAAATTGATCTCAATCAACGCGACAATTCACCAGACAAAAAACCCCCAGATCAAATCTAGCAAAACTTGGGCACCGTGTGGAATGGCAGCCACGAGTTTGGAACTAACCTGGTTAACAGGACCCAACGTTACGTGCTTGAACATAAACAGAGATTTAATGCCCCCCCCCCATTTCATTTTATTTCGTTCCCATGTGATTTTTTTACCTATTTTTTTTCCTGTCTTAGAAACCTTTTTTTTTTTGCTTTTGGGTAACGGCAGTTTGAATTAAATTTTACTTCCAGCTCCATTTCTGTTTTTTTTAAAAAACCCAACAACAACCCATCGTCAACCCCATGAATTTCCTTCTTTCTGCAAAACTGGTCCAGCCTCTATCACTGGCTGCATTAAAGTTTAGAAAAACAAGCCAGTCACGGGGCTATTTTCTCCCTCTTGCCTGCAATTCAGCTCCATTAAAAACAGGAGATAATTCCACTTCTTTGACCTCTGCATACACGCACACACACACATCAAAGGATTTGGCCCTCTCTGCATTTTGCCCAGTAGGAAAAATGCAAAACTTCAGCAGCAACTGGGAGAGATTTTATTCCCAATTTTTTTTAAAAAAGATATTCCTTTAAGAGAAAAGGCAGGAAAATTCAGATTAAACTGGCAGAGCTGAGTATCCAATAATAGGCTTGCTCCCAGCTTGAAAATTAGCGTAAATAAATCCTTCTGTAAAACTGGACAGGCCTCTCTGTAAGCAGCTTAACCTGGGAAACGGTCCTAGATGTCTCTTTTTTATCCTCATAAGAACCCTGCAAGGTAGGGTAGTCTGAGCTATGAGTGACTGGCTTCAGATGCAAACTTAGCAGGTAAATAAATTTGCAAATTTTGCCAGTGTTTTCTCACCCACTTTTTTTTTTTAACTTATTCTCAAGGACCATCCTCCCAGCAGCCTTTACAACTAGAACGAGTGCTAATTTTAGTGTGCTAATTTCACAACCTGCTAAAAAAAAAAGGTGCCCTTGGGTTTTGTATATTAAATTAATAATATTTGCAAATTTTGTATATTAAATTTGCATTATTTACTGCTGCTGATGATCAATTTTCCCATGCAATTTTTTAGCAATTAAAGCAAATTCCCTTTTGGAAGATGAGTCTGATATTTTAGTTATTCCACAACAGGCTTACAAGGAACAGATATGGGCAATTTTTCAAAAGAAAAAAAAAAGGACTTCTTTTTCAGAAGAGAATTTACTCCCACGGCTGTAAAATAAACCCACCGACATCCATTAAATCCAACTTGATTTAGTAAAAACGCAGCGTCCAACTAAAAACTTTATTTAGTCATTTTTTTCCCCTTCTCTGCGTCTTCATTTTTTTAACCAGTTAACTTGGTTAAAAGGACAAAAAGGGAAAATAAGACTTAGGTGCAAAGAAGAGGGGAACACTTTATTTTGTTTATCCAATTTCTATAGCTGCCCAAACTCAACCAAGTGATTCAACGAAGTGATTTTATTCTCTGCAGAATTCACCCCACTTTTAAAGGGGATCTCCAACGGGCCCTGACAAGGGGAGATCTCACCCCCTTGCCCACAAAATACAATATAATTCTGTTCCTCCTTGGCCCCTTGCCAAGCCATCCTTTCGGGAGGGTATAATTTCACTTTTTCTTTTCAAATTAAAAGAAGGTGTGCCAACTTCCGCTTCCTTGGGTCAATTTCCAAATGCGGGAGGGTGGGGGAAAAAGTATTAAGTTTTGTTTTGCAAAACAATAGTCCCCCAAAATCAGGATATATTTTTTTTCCCTTTCCATTTCTCTCTTAAGTCCCTTTTCTGGGAGTTTTTAAACCTGGCAAGTCAGACTGGCTGGAGCTGGAAGGAAGAACCAGAATGGTAGTTTAGGGTTTCTGGGAGACCTCAGGAGGAGGAAAATAGGAGAATTCTGGAGGGGCCAATTCACACGACCTGTTTAGGAGAAGCAAAAGGCCCAAAGGGGGGTGCACTGGCACAAGATGTGCCAAATTGGGCACCACGTAATAATAAATCGGATTTGTTTCCAGGGCTTCTGTAAAGGCAGCCCCCTCGGAGGCTAAATGCTTTTCTATTTATGATGATTTTACAGGCCAGTCAGCAGTTCAAAGTCTCTCTGTCTAGCGAGACGGGCGGCGGGTACATTTAGTAACAAACATAAAAGTGAACAAGAAGGAAACAAACAGGCTGCAGAACGTAAAGGGAGTGGAGAAACCGGGTTCCCTGTGTTTGTGTGAACGGAGTTATTGGATATTCCCGATGTCTCTCGTGGCTACCTTCCCCGCCTCTCTCCTCGATAGCGCTCAGTGAGAAATCCACCCACCCCAGGAGTCCGGGCTTAAGCGGCCAGCGCGCTTCCTGGACCCAGGGATGCCTTTCAAGAGACTGGTCCTCAGTGAGGCGGATTCTTCTCCAAGCCGCCGGAAAAACCTCGGAGCTGCTTTCTTTCCGTCTCTCGCTCTCTCCCTCCCCCACTAATCCTCGGTGGGACGCGCCGCTTAAACCCGGGTTTAGCCCCGCACGGGTTCAAAACCCACGCTATGCCACACATACACACGCGCACGGAGGTCACGCTAACCCGCGAGTTTCCTTGCATAACCGGGTTTTGCACGGGTCTGGTTCCCACGAAGCTCCCGTCCACCCGTTGCAAAGAAAGCGCACGGTTTTTGCACGGGTCTGGTTCCCACGACGGGCCCGGGATCAGGATCGTAAGGCTGCTGGTGGGTGGGTGGGTGGGAGGAAGAACCGGACCGTCCGGGATTCTTACCTGTTTGCCTCCGCCGGGAGATGCCCACTCCCGGCCAGGGCTCTCGGTCCGGTCCGGCCAGCCACCTGCCCGCAGCTCCCGTCGCCATTCAACAAGCTCTGCAGCGCCGGTGGGCTAACTTGGCGCGCCCGTGAGCTTTGCAAGGCGGCGCCCGCGGGCGACCGGCCGCTGAGCTCTTCTCCCCCTTCGCCCCGTGCTAAAATTTACTCCGCGGCTGCCCCGAAGCGCAAATCCAACCCCTCTTCCCCCCACTTTTTTTGCATCTGATCCGCGAGTCCCGGATTCGGAGCGATTTCGCTTTCTCCGGTTCCAGAAACCCAACTCCGTCCCGGAGCGCCTGTCCGAGGAAACTTCCCACACAATGGAGGGGCGGGGGCTTTGCTCTGCTGCCGCCCCCCCTCCTCCCTCCCACCACCGCCTCTTGGTTGCCCGGGGCAACGGCCAATCGCGTGCCCGAAAGCGCTCCTTGCGCCTTCCAAATGGACCAATGGCCGGCAGGCAAAGGTAGGACCTGGGTGCTTTAAAAGGGGAGATGGAAAGGGAGGGGGCGTGTCTTGGTAAGGGGGGGAAAAAGGGATTTATGTCGCAAAGGTGTCTGGGATATGTAGTTTTGTTTTCCCCACACAGGTGTGGTTGGGGCAGACACTCTGGAGTGGTTCCGTTAAATCAGAGTTTTTCTCAACTTTAATGACAGGAATTCCCAGGGTTCCCCCAAACTTGGAAATGGCTACGGTTGCAAAACTCTGCGCTAATTGAAGTGGGGTGTGTTTTGTAAAATGCGCAAAGTATAAATGAAACAAATAAATCAATACATAAATGAAAAAGTATCACCAGCAGCTTAAAGCAGGGTCGGCTGGGGAATTCTGGGGGTTGAACCCTTTCATTTGGGGGCAAAACTACACAATTTTCTTGACGTTGCAGTTCTTTCAGTCCCCCTTTTCTCCTCTTCCTTCCTTCCTTCTTTTCCTTCCTTCCTCCCCCTCCTTTTCTCCTCCCTCACTTCTTCCATCGTTCCCTCCTTCTTCCTTCCTTTTTTCTTTTTCTTTCTTTCCTTCCTTTTTTCCTTCCTTCCACCCCTCCTTTTCCCCCACTCTTCCTCCCTTCCCCTTCCTTTTTTCCTCCCTCCATTCTTCCTTCCATCATTCCTTCCTTCCTTTTTCTTTCTTTCTTTCTTTTTCTTTCTTTCTTTTTTGTCTCCCTCCCTCTCTCTCTCCTTTCCTTTCTTTCCTGTCTGTCTCCTTTTCCTTTTCTTCCTTCTCTCTCTCTCTCTCTTTTCTCTTCCTTCCCAGAGATCGGCCGCGATAATGCTCCGATGCACCGTGACCGAATGCCAGGAACCATACAATGAAGTCATTTAATACCACACCTGTTGCTTTCTAAATTCCACCCAGACCTGTTTCCTGTGGGGTTTTTTTTTGGGGGGGGGGGGGCTCCCCAACCTCCCGAGGCAGGAAGCCAACATTCATGGGCTGTGGGTATCCCAAAAGAGATTATCCCTCCTTCCTCCTCCCTCCTTTTATAATCACCACCTTGGAGAGGCGGAAACAAGATACGGCTTGAAGGGGGCTTTTAAGATAATCCGGGATCCCTCCCCGGAGAGGCTGCACTGCGGGGGACCTGCTGGTACTTGATCCCTGCTGGGCCCAAACAGGGCCTAAGATGATTCACACTTTTTTAAAAAATGAATTGCCTTTCTTTCCTTCTTTCTTTCCCCTTTTGTTTCCTTTCTTCCCTTCTTCCTTTTCCCTTCCTTTTATCGTCTTCCCTT